TATATATATATATGGTGGTATTGTGTTCCCCAAAATATTGTGCACACTAATAAACTTATCCAGGGTCAGAGAACAGAACAGCCACAATATTAAACATAGAGGATGGGCAGTGGTAGCAGACGCCTTTAATCCTAGCATTCCAGAGGCAGAAATCCGTCTGGATCTCTATGAGTTCAAGGCCACATTGGAAACAGCCAGGCATGGTGACTCACGCCTTTAATCCCAAGAAGTGAGCCTTTAATCCCAGGGAGTGACGGGCAGATAGCAGAAAGGTATATAAGTCATGAAGACCAGAAACTAGAAGCATTTGGTTGGTTAAGCTTTAAGGCTTTGAGCAGCACAGTTCAGCTAAGATTCATTCTGGATGAGGACTCAGAGGCTTCCAGTCTGAGGAAACAGGACCAGCTGAGGAACTGGCGAGGTGAGGTAGCTGTGGCTTGTTCTGCTTCTCTGATCTTCCAGCATTCACCCCAATAACTGGCTCCCAGTTTGTTTTTATTAATAAGAACTTTTAAGATTCATGCTACATATATATGAAATACACATATATATGAAAATATTTTTCATAATATATAAAAATGTTGCAACATTCTTAATTCTGATTCTATTAAGAACATTAATAAGTTAGGGGATCAAGTAGGTGTAAGTCGGTGAACTATTAACAGTCACTTTTAACTAGTTTCCAAGGCATAAAATTGGTTCTACCTAGCACACCCATAGCTCTAGACTCCCCCCAAAGCCAACCACGAGTGACCATCATGTAAAAGTCATCAAACCCACTGTCACTCTGATAGTAGAGATACTCCCTATGGAAACCATAGACTGACTCCTGTCATTGATTCAAGGGATAAAGGAATAGCTTCCCACAATGCTATAGGAGGTATCATCATGGTTCCAAAAATACCAGGAATGCAAACTACAAGCAGGACCTTCCCAGACCAGGCCTGTGTGCAGTGACCAGGGCTGTCCCCTACCTGGCTCCAGACACCAAGAACACAAGGCCAGGATCTCAGCTACATCGTACATGAACCAATCTCCTCGAAAGGGGAAGCTCTCTGCTTTTTAAACACTTCTGACAATAATTTAATATGCTGGACAACTGAGATTACTTCTTGTCTATAAGCCATCTCAGAAAAAAAAAAATGGAGGTTAGAATCTGAAGACAGGGCAGCAAAGCCATAGGTAGCAATGGGGTGGGGTGCCATGAAAAGGGTGATGAGCCCAAGGAAACCACAGGGGCTGAGGGCAGCTTCCTGAAGGGAGGCACCTGGGGGAAATGGGGCTCGATGTGATGTAGGTGAAGGGTAGCAAGTAAGACATCTTTCATTAAACCGAAGTCTCTAAGTCAATTATGACACTTTGGACAGAAACTCGGAGGGAACGAATAGGATGAGAACAGAGAGACGTTCTTATAAGATCAATAAACACAACGACGCAGCATATTTGTCACAGAGTCTTTGCGCGCAGACTTCAACATTTCCATTAGCTTCGCAGAGAGCCGCCATGTGTGGTAGACTCTTATGTCTAAGTTCAAAGCAATGGGGGGAAGGAGAAAGAAAAATGTCCTAGTTGGCTTTCCATTGCAGTGGTAAACACCATAACCGTGACTTGAAAAAAGAGGCTTATTTCAGCCTACAAGTCCCAGGCCACAGTCCCGTCAGTGAAGAAAGTCACAGCAGGAGCTCACGGCAAGATCTTGAAGGCAGGAGCTGGCATGGAGGCCGTGGAGGAAAATAGACACTGTAGCTCTACTCATCTAGCTTCCTATTACAGCCCAGGTCTGCCTGCCTAGGGAGGGCATCAGCACAGATGGGCTCTTCTACATCAGCTATCAATTAAGAAAATGCCTCCATAGACACACCCACTGGCCAATCTGATGGAGGTCAATTCTGTAGGTGAGGTTCCCTCTTCCCAGCTATATCAAGTGGACAGCAAAGATTAGCCATCACAAAAAGAAGACAAAGGTAGGATTATTTGATTGCACATCAAATTTCTCTAAACTGTTAAGGTAAATATTGTACGTGAATATTTTCCAAGAGTATCGTAACACGTATGCTGGACTTGGAGCTTACTGGTGCCTACAGGGGAACTATACTCTGACTGTGATTTTTTTTTTAATGTGTGTGAGTGTTTTGTCTGCATGTATGTCTGTGTGCTACATGGATGCCTGGTGCCTGCAGATTCCAGAAGACGGCTTTGGATCCCCTGGGACTAGAGGTGGTATAATTTGGGTGCTGGAAATTGAACCCAGGTCCTTTGGAAGATTAGCCAGTGCTCTTAACCACTAAGCCATCTCTCCAGCACCTCTGACTATGATTTTATAGTCACAAACACACATGTCCATAGATTGAAGGGAAAAAAAAAACCCTTCAATAGACACCTCAATAAAAGTTCAGACAAATCTGTGATGGTGAGCTTCATCTCCCCCTTTTGGCCTGTTATTAAGATAGATTTATCAAAGATAATGAGAAAACCAAATCACCTATGTTTAAAGCCCAGGACCCAATATGACCCTAACTTCATATTCCCAAGAAATTTCCAAGGAGTAGGCATCCACACAGGACCTGGACCCAACACCCGCTGGATCTGTGGTGAGCCACACCCTCAGCATGCACTGTCCATGAAGATGCACAAAGGAGCAGTGGGGTCTTTTCTTAGGTTCCAAGTCCCCAATCCACTCTTTCCTACAAGGCTCGATGTTTCAAACTTCAGATCAAGTAGAGATGCTGCTACATGATCTTGCAACGAGTGGAGACCACTAAATTGCTTCAACTTAATACATACTTATACTTTGCAGGGTTGGAATGAACAAACACATTGCCTTTCCATCCACTGTAACTTCAGAGAAACCCTCAGGGTCAAGGTCAGCAAGATCCTTCTCTGGTCCTCAAGCAAGTCATCAGTTTGGCCTAGATTCCAACAGGAACACAACAAAATAGCATGGAGCCTGGAATGTGGCACTAACATCTCACCCACAGGCAAGGATCACGTGTCACCACCAGCCATCACTCAAACCCTGTACCTGCTTAGTTAGAGTCCCTTCCCCAATTGTCAAAGCATCCATATACACAGAGGGCTATACACCATGTATGCACAGACACGTTTCTTAGTCTTTTGACCTTCTTCTTCTATGCCACACTCTCCATCTCCCATGCAAAAGTAGCCACAGCACAGTGTTGAGTGTCCACACCCTTAGAGGTTTCTTGAGTTCAGTATCCTCAGATCCAAGGTGCCGCCACTCTTCAATTAGAATTCTGATTCACCAAGTACAAAGGTTACACAACAAAGTCTTTAAGTTTTTTAAGTTCAGGAAAAGCTAAGTATTTCAAAATTATGATACTCTCCAAATACTACAGACAGGTACATAGTCTTATCCATCGTGACTTGCCATACATTCCCCGAAGAGCCCCCATCATCTGGGTAATGGAGGAATTGTATGCGGCTGGGAGCACAGACTCCCCACAACATAGGTTCTTGTTTTGATCTATTTCCACCAATAAATAAATAAATAAGTAAATAAACAAACAAATAAATAAATAAATAAGTAAGTAAATTAACAAATAAATAAATAAGTAAATAAATAAATAAGAAATGTTTGTTAAAACAGAATTCTTGTTTTCTTTTTTAGAACTGGCAGCCATGCATTCATTAATTATGAACATCACATAACATATACCTGGGTTGTTATTTACCATAATAGTGAGATTGGGTCACAGAGACTTCTTTGGTTCCTGCAGCAGAGCAAACCTAGGTCATAAGCAATACTGCGTATAGAATTGATAGATGTGCTGGACACCATGGTAGTATGGAATCATCCCCTTGCTACGATGGAAAAATATCAACCATTCAAATAAGCCCATCTAAAAGTTCTTACCGATTACCTACACACCCAACAAAATTAAGTAAGCAATGCTTTAGCTGGTTCTATGATTAATAACTGAGCAACAAATCATCAAAAAAGTGCACAGTCATTAGAGACCACCTCTTTTGTGGTAACTGGGCAGGATCAATCAACTTCCACTAACACTCAAATGCACCGAGCAGAGAGAGCCACAACCCGACCCTTGGTTTCTCGATGCACTAGAGTCTTGCAAAAGATTCTGAGTGCGCACAGAGCTCCATACTCTCTGCAAGGAGAGCTTCGTAGCTCCACGTCCATTGTGATATCGAAGGAGATGGACCAATGACTCCATCTTGGAGATACCAGCCATCTGATGCTCTGCCTCTTGGGAGCCTGTCTCCACCAAGACCATGGGCTGGCTGCAGGGAAGAGGCAAGCAAGCAGAACAGCTCTTGTCCAGCTGCCCACCCACCTGGGTCCCAACACCCTGGTGAGTCTTCTCACCACCTCATCTACAGCTTAACCAAATAAAACCTCATCAGCCTCCTTTTCATTTTACCCACAACCCAGAAAAGGGCTTGACTACATCATGTGGGCCTCCTTTTAAGCAAACCCAGAATGCTTTAAGTGAAATCAAAGGTGTCTGTCTAGGTTTTTTTAATGTGGAAATCAGATATCCAAGTATCACTTTTGTTTCATAGGAAATTTTCCATCTTTACTTTTTTTCTCTGGTATCATTCCAAGCAAAGACGAACCCAACTGCTTTCCTTCTCCATCTCCCCTTGAAATGAAATGTACCACTCCATCTGCTCAACCCTCACCTCCAACTTCAGGAGGACCGAGGCCCTGCCTGTGCAGAGGATGAAGATTCCTCATGACGCAACCCTCAACATCCCTGGATTGGAGAAGCATGGGAGAAGACAGGGGCCCTCACTGCTGTCCCCGTCGGCAACAGGCACCAGGGAACATGACCAGCACCCCTCCCTGCAGACAGAGGGTCCTGCACTCAGGCACCAACACAGGCCATACAGCCACAGGGTAGGGTCTTCACCCAGCACACAGACAAGGCAAGCAGGGAGGGGAGATGGCCAGCATCCTCAGTCGGCCCTTCCTGCCTCCTCCTGCCTCCTGCGCTTGCCACCCAGCCTCTCCCCCAGTGTGCTCCAAGTTCACAGGGACCTGGGTCTCCAGCACTGGCCTAGTCAGCTCTTCTCTACCCTACCCCCAATTTCCCATCTGTGGGTAAGTCTACCCAGTTGCTCTGAAGACTGGGGCATGCCTGTGGAGCATCTCCGCTCCCGAAGCTCTCCGCATGTGCTCAGTCCTCTGTCTCCTCCCCCTCCCCCTACCTGGCTCCTCGCTGCTGCCCCCAAACCAGGCAGTGGGTTCCTCCTCTGGGAGCTGGGGTTCTCCTCCACCTCCTCCGCCCTCGAGGGCTTTGCGCTTCTTCGACATCTCTGCCCAGGGCCTGGGGTTTGGGGGTTTTTTCTTTCCCCTCCCCCTGGCCCTCCCCTCTCGGAGAGGAGAGTGAAGGTGGGGTTAGGTGGAGAGGAAAGGGGTGGGGAGAAGAGGCCAGGGAGGGAGAGGGAAAGAAATTGCTGCTGCCGAAAGACTGGAAGGGATCTGGAAGGCAGGCAGGAGAGGCAGGGACTTGTGCTGAAGCCCTAGGCTTGCTTCCATCAGTGTGGCCCTTCTCTCTCTCTCTCTCTCTCTCTCTCTCTCTCTCTCTCTCTCTCTCTCTCTCCTCTTCCTTCTATTAAAAGGGTGAGATGAGAGGGGAAATCAAAACCCAAGAGGAAAGGCTCCCCAGAAACCTCAGAGGTTTCTTGCTAATGTGGGAGGGGGCCTGGGTGGGGTTCTCTCTCTCTCTCTCTCTCTCTCTCTCTCTCTCTCTCTCTCTCTCTCTCTCTGGACTCCTGGTCCTGCCTGGCTATGAGGAGCCTGTGTGCGGCTGTGGGGGAGACAGCCACAGGCAGAGTGAGAGGTGTAGGACTGGGATGGTTGGGACATGGTTTCAATGGGTTGCCAAATAAAATAATAAATAAAATGCTACAGAAGGCAACAGAGATGTTTTCAGACACTAGGGATTCAGGACCCCTTCCTCTCCTGTGGCATCATGTGATATCTCTCAGAAGAGACAGGAGTGGGGGGCCGGAGGATAGGCAGGGATGGCCAGTACAGGGAGACTCCTCTACTGAGGACCAGAGACCGGCAGCGGGAAGGAGCGGGGAGGCTGAGGTACACTACAGCCCTTCTCTGTGTCTCTGTGCCAACCCCAAGAGGCACCTGCAGGTCTGGCTAGGCAGCCGCTGCAGTTTGCAGCTGGGGCGCAGTCTACTCAGAAACTTGCAGCTCAGAAACTCCAGGAAGCCCGAGTGATGAGCCCCAGGCTGTCGCTGGGCACTGGGCTCGGCTGCAGCTTCCCCCTACCTCTCCTTCAAAGCCTTGGGTCTCTAGCTTTATAAAGCCCCCCCCCGGGGGGGGTTCTCGCTTCCACTCCCCATCCCATTCACCCAAGCACAGCCACAAACACTGGCACACGACACACACACACACACACACACACACACACACACACACACACACACATTTTCTTACTGCTGGAAAAGGAGCTAGATGCTGGGAAGTTTGTTTTTGTTTTTGTTCTTTTCCTTAAGTAGGAAAAAAAAAGGATTGGAATTAAGTTTTCCTTTCTCTTTTTTCTTTCTTTTAATCCATCCCCCTTTGGACTCTTAGTGGTTAATGTTAGATTAAAAAAGAAATTATCAACTTACCCGCCAAAGTATGCTCCAGTACAAAACTCCTTTCTGCTTCATTTCCAGTTCACAAATTCAAAGCGGAGGCGGTGGGGACGGGTCCCTGGGAACGGTGGGTCCAGGCTCCATCCACAGCTGCTCAAAACAAGTCGCCAAACCCGGGCGGCCCAAGTTCAGGACCCGTCCAAGGCGCTCCAATATGCTCCATGCAGCAGTCTTATTCCAAGGAGTTTCCGCGCTGGTCATCTTGCCAAAGGGGGAGACAACTCGAAAAAAGCAGGAGTGAGGTTACCCTCTCCCACCTTCCTTTCTGGGGTCCTCGGGAAAGCAGTGAGGAGCGTTCTAGGCGCCAATGATGACTGGTCCATCTCAGCTCAGCCTCTGGACAGAAGCAACTTTAGACCCACACACCTAGGAGTAGAGTGTTTGTGTACGAGTATGCATGTGTGTTCACGCGCGTGTGCGTGCGGGCTCAAGTGTCCAACTCGTGTGCCCGCGCACACTTGACATGGGGGTAAGGGGGCGGGTGCGTGTGCTCTGAAGAGCCGCTCTCCCTGGCTGCTGGAACTTAGAGAGTTTTCCTTTAAGCCAGCAACGCTGATGCTTGGACAGCCCCCCCCCCCCTCCCCGCGTCCAACAGGAGGCGATGACGTCTGCAGCCTCGTTGCCAGAGCAGTCCCCGAGCGGCGGCTGCTGTTCATTGACAGGAGCAGAGGCTCGGACGTCAGCAGCCGGACCTTGGCGACGCGGCTCCCGCGGAGACGGCTCCCACCCCCGCACCTGCCAGCCCGCGGGGGAGGAGGGAGTGAAATCAAAGCCACGGAGGAGCGGATTGGGGCGACGCTGGGGCTGCAGAAGGGGGGTGACTCGGATCTGCCCTCTTTGTCCTGGAGCCCCGGAGTATATAAATAGTACTGTCTCCAGCCAGACTAGCACCCGCTCTCGCACGCCCCCATGCCCCCCTCCCTGTCACTTTGTGACGGGCTGGCTCCGCGGGAAGGGAGGCAGGGGGCGGGAAGCAAGGAGTGGAAATAGATGTTGGGTTTTTTTTTTCCTCTTCCCATTCATAGATTCGGCTGGAGTCATGGGGCCTTGGCTCTGGCAGTCGCAATGAATGGATGGATGCCTGCGCGCCCCGGGACCACCTGGCCCGCTGAGGCGTCGCTAGCACAGGGGGGCGCTCTTCCATGAGGGAACTGGCACACATGTCCAGGCACACAGAGACTGCAAAAAACAACCCCAAGGAGGCCAAAGGCCTGCCATCTCCTTCCCCTCTGATCTCTTCTGGATTATTCCTTCCCTGGGAGGCTGGGAGGCAAAACAAGCCCCTGAGCTTGGAATTTCCACACAGTGGAGCTCCCAAGTGGAGCCTTTGACAAGGGACTTCCTGCAGTCTGGACAGCGACAATCGCAAAAGGAGCGGCCACCTGGGGCAAGGCTTTTAGTCACTGGTATGCTGCTGGTGGCCAAAACCTCCTCGTCCCTCCCCACCTAAGTACCCAAGAATGCTCCACACCAGAAAGGGTGGAGCGCAGTGAAGGGGCAGAGTTCTTCAGCTCAGTTTAACCAGAGTCCAGCCCTTGGGGAATCCTTAGGCACTGGGGGCAGCGGGAGCTAGAGGCGCCACACAAGACACAGGGATCACCACCTACATCCTTGGCTGTGCCCTGTGCCCTGCAGAAGCTAAAAGATGCAGAAGCTAAAGGATGCAGATTCCCAGCACACAGGGAAGCTTTATAACTGCATCCCCTGGAGAGGCGGGGATTTAATGGTTGTGAAGCGAGTCTGGGCTATTTGTTACCCCAGGACAGATGCTCATGGCTAGGACAGTGGAGCTCAGGATGGCAGCAGTGCATTCCAGGCCAGGAAGAGCCAATGGGTGGGAAAGCGGGGAGTGAGAGGGGAGAATGCCCACTCTCCCCGATCATTCTGCCCCCCCAGAAGATCACAGGAGTGACATCCCCACCCCTGTGCCAGCAGAGGGCCCTTCTTAGCTACCCCTTGGGCCCTTCCTGTCATGCCCTCCTGACTCCTCCATCTTTCCCATTCTTCACTTTTCTGCTTCCCTTCACAACAGATGGGTAGGTGCATTCAGGGTACACCCTCTGGCTACTCCCCTCTCACCCTGTTCTGGACCACCCAGGAAGCACTTCCCTGGGACGGCTGATGTTGAGCAATGCTCTATTTCCTCCCGTCAGTACCAGCCCCTTCTCCAGTCTTCCTCTCATCCCTTACATCAGTGCCTAGAACACACTTCCTCATGCCCTGCCTCTGAAAATAACCTACCCTTAACTTGGACCTAGCCCCTGCATGTCCCTAGTGAACACCTTATCTCCCAATCTTCCTGATGTTGGGGTGGACCATTCATAGACCCCTCTGCTTTCCATCACCTCTGAGTTAAGGCTCTCACTCAGCCTGGCAACTTTAAAATACATGTTTTGCGTATTACATTGAGCACAGACCTCTCCTCTGAACTTGAGACTCCAGTGAACTACAAACTCCTGTTGTATGCCCATAAAGTCTCCAAGGCCACTAAATTCCACTCACTCGCAGCCATGGTACTCCCAAAGTATCCCCACATCAGTAAGTAGAAACAGCATGCTTCCTGTTGACCTTAGGCCAAATGATTGTAGTGAGCCGGACCTCTCTTTCCTATCACCCCATTCCGTCTGCTCCCTCAGCCTTGAGTGTGTCCGGTTCAGGCACCTTTCGCCTCCCACTCCAAACTTCCAGCTCCAGTGAGTCACACCCAGGTTGCTGCTGCCGCTGCCCCTTTCTCGCTCTGCCACCATGCCACACTTAACGCAGAGGCCAGGGCCCCTGTGGAAATGCAAGATCACCCCAGTTCTCCACCGAGTCCTCCACGGCTCTCTGCAAAGCCCGATGACCACATCAACTTTTGCTCATTCCTCATCTTCTCCTTGCCACTGTGCCTAAAGCAATGATAGTTAATTTGGGTTATCAACTTGATTTGATTAATAGACACCCAGGATATTAGTGAGGCAGACCTTTGGATATTTTAATGATGGTGTTTCCATAAAGGATTAGCGGAGGCAATAAAACCTGCCCTGAACATGGGGGTGCGGGAAGCTGAGAGCTTTTACCTTTCTCTACTCTCTGGATGGCACCACAGGCCAAACCCCTCACGCTTCCCTGCCACAGTGGAAGGCATTTTTCTGAATTATCAGATGGAATGAATCCTTCTTCCTTCAAGTTGTCTTTTAAAAGGGTTTTGTGGGGGCAAGGGGTTGTTTTATTTCCCAGTAAAAAGAAAAGTAACTAATACAGAAAACAGATGCTGAGAAATGGAGCTTTTGCTGAGTTCAGCCCTACCACATGGCTGTTAGGCTTGAGAACTTGTCTGTAGGAAGAACGTGGAAGAGTTTGGAGATTCAGATTGGAATCCCACATGTAGTCCAAAATGTTTTCTTGTGTTCAACCTCCCAGCCACTCAGAAGCTTCTGCAGCCATGGTATAAAGGAATCAGACTACAACATGATTTGACAGACACACCTTGGCAGACACATGGTGCCAGTTTTGTAGGTTCGCAAAATGCAAGAGTCATGGGGTCCCAGAGGCTTGAACCAAGTTCCAGGAAGATACAAGGTCAGGGAATATGGCAGGGTCGGATTCCCTGGACGGAAGTTTTAGGAGGCCATTGAATATAACTATGGTGGTGAGATCCAAGTTGCATTGGAGACCCCAAGATCTTACAGATGCCAAAACTATGGGACATCCCCCAAGGAAAGCCTTAAGCATAGAGTGGAGCTGGCCTAAGATAAGGGCAGTGGGTGCTACAGGCAACAGATCTGAAGACGCAGAGACCCAGGCTGTTGGAGCACAGGTGATGTCACCATGAGCCCCAGGTGCCAGGCCAGGAGCTGTAAGATTTGGTGTTTGCTCTCTTGGGTTTCTGTCTTCCTCTGGTCCAGTCTCTCCCTTCTTTCCATTCCCCTCTGTTGTAATACAAATGTTCACTCTGTACTCTTGCACACTGAAAGCCTACAACTTGATTCTTGACTTTTCAGGGGCTCACAGTTAATAGAATGCCTTAGGAGCAGAGCAAGTTTTAACCTCGGACTTTAAAATAATGTTGGAACTGTTAAGACATGGGGACCTCTTGGAGATGAAGAAAATGCATTCAGCATTGAAATGACCCTGAAACTTTAAAGACAGGAGTTGGATGTTATGGTTTAAAAGTAATGCACTTGGGTGTTAAGTTGACAAGACATGGATTTGTGATGATTAATTTTGACTGACAACTTGAATGCATTAAGAAACATGAGAGGATGTTAGTGAGGGATGTGTGTGTGTGTGAGGGTGAGTCAGAGAGTTTTGAGAGAAAAGATTCACTCTGAAGGTGGTAGGCACCATCCCATGGACTGAAGTCCCAGATTGAATAAAAATTCAGACAAAGTCAGCAGAGATCTAGTATTCCCCTTCCTCCATTCCCTGATTCACTCAGATGTGAGCAAGCTGCCTTCTCCACCATGGGAGGAGCTGGTGCTACAGCCCTGCCATCCCCACGTGGTAGATTATACCACTGAACCACGACTCAGATAGAGATTTCCCTCCCTTAGGTTGCTGTTAGGTGTTTCACGTGAGCTGCACAGGCAGCCTCAGAGGCAGAGCCTTCTCCCTGCTGATTGCTGTCCAGAGGCTGGAGTGTGAGTGCATTCTCTAAATTTGTAGGGCTGGGGAGAAGGCTCAGGGATAAGAGTATGTAATGCTCTTGCAGGACTGCCTGAGTTTGAGAGTTTGATTCTCAGCACCCATTTCGGGCCACCACTGACAAGTGCCTGTAACTCTAGCCACAGGGAGAGGAGAGACCTCTTCAGGCACCTGCATCCAAGTGCACATACACACACACACACATAGACACATACATGTGGTGGTATTGTGTTCCCCAAAATATTGTGCACACTAATAAACTTATCTGGGGTCAGAGACAGAACAGCCACTAGATACAAAGGCTAAAAAATGGTGGCACTCATGCCTTTAATCCTAGTACTCCAGAGGTAGAAATCCCTCTGGATCTCTGTGAGTTCAAGGCCACATTGGAAATGGCCAGGCATGGTGACACGCCTTTAATCCCAGAAAGCGAGCCTTTAATCCCAGAGAGTGGTGGTAGAAAGCAGAAAGGTATATAAGGTGTGAGGACCAGAAACTAGAGGCATTTGGCTGGTTAAGTATTTGGCTGGTTAAGCTTTCAGGCTTTCAAGCAGCACAGTTCAGCTGGGATTCATTCTGGATGAGGACTCAGAGGCCTCCAGTCTGAGGAAACAAGATCAGCTGAGAAGTCGGCCAGGTGAGGTTAGCTGTGGCTTGTTCTGTCTCTCTGACCATCCAGCATTTCACCCTAACAACTGGCCTCAGGTTTAATTTTATTAATAAGACCTTCTAAGATTCCTGCTACACACACACACACACACACACACACACACACACACACACACACACACACAATTTAAATGTTTAATTATATGAATTTGTGTATTTTTATGTTTGTACAGATCTATCAAAATCTCTGCCTCAGACTCCTGCCTCTTTGGTAATTCCCAATTAACAGTGAAATTCTCACAACCTGCTCACTTCAAACCTCCCTCCTCCCTCTTTCTTCCTTTGCGTGTGTGTGTGTGTGTGTGTGTGTGTGTGTGTGTGTGTCTGTCTGTCTGTTTGTCTGTCTGTCTCATGTGTGAGAGACTATACATGAGGTCAGAAGTCAATGTCTGGTGTCTCTCGCTGAAACCAGACCTTGACAATTCCGTTAGCCCGGCTGACCAGCCAGCAGACCCCAGAGATCCTCCTGTCTCTGCCTCCCCAGCCTTGGGATTACAGTCATATTGATGTGCTCAACTTTTTAAGTGTGTACTGGGGCTTTGAACCCAGGTCCTCACGCTTTCAACATGAGCACCTTACCAGCAGATCCATTTCCTGTTCTTTCTCTCCCTGTTTTCCCTACATGGCCCTTTTCCTCTCTTCCCTTTCCTTTTCCACTCAACCCAGAAGCCAGCCGTGAGCCTGAGGAGGAGGTGCCTCTGAGCTGTACTTCTCACCAAACAAGGAAAGATTCAACAGCTACTGAGATTTCAGGTCCGTGTTGCTCTCTCAACCATGTAGAGGAAAGGAATCGCCCACAGCTGAAGCACAGGGGACACACCAGTGAGGACGCGGGAGCCTCAGTGCCCCTGACCAGAGGAGGGCTGGGATGCCACCTGTGGGAGCTGCCTCTAGGTCAGGTCATACAGGCGTACCACGGTGCCTTAGAGACAGAGCACAGGGGCCCAGAGCCTGGAGAGCAGCTGTCTGGGAGTAGTAGGATGTCAGTCACCTGGGTTCAGATGTTGGACTGAGGTTGAACAGATCATAGGGGACCTCCCGGCCACTTGAGGAGCTGGAACTATACTTTGAGGTCTTAAAGGGTTTTAAGAAAGAGATGAAATGGTGTCTTTTGTGTTTGAGGGGGGAAATGCTGGATGGTTGAGGAGATGAGAGACAGGAGCAGCCACAGGAAGAGGCTGCAGGGTTCGAGTGGCGTGGCACTGTGTGGTGACAGCATGTGGGGGCCAGGCAGAGGGAAAGATTCAGAACACACATGCACTTCCTGTTTCCCGAGACAGGACCTAAAAGACAACCGCTGGACTTCACGGGACGATGGCACCGTTGATGGGAGCGGACACCCCACCACCACCACTCTTCACTGGGAATGCTGCCGTGGGGGGTGAGGCCTTGCACCTCTGAAAACTGAGTTCTCAACTTGACTGTGCAGATCCAAGTTGGGGGAACTTGACAAAGACTCAAATGATCAATGCAGAAGCGGAAACGGCTGGTCCTTTTGCAGTGGTAGAGCATTTGTGAGAATAAGGACCTTCCCCTTCACTCCAGCCCTGCTTTCTCCCCGCAAGACCACAGATGGATTAAACTTCAGGGCATTGTAGGGTTGAGCCACAGTGGGCCGTGCATTTGGCTGACATATTTCCTCTACCCTCTGGGTGTCCATGAGCAATGTGCATGGCCAGCTTCCTCTGGCTTCAGCTGTCCCCCCCGCTCTTCACTGTCAGCCTACTTCTTCACCCCCAAGCAAGAGCTTTCAAAATTCGTCTGACCCAACCACACCCTTTGAAATAAAAGTCCTGAGGCTGTGACCCAATCACAGCCTTCAAAATAAAAGTGCTGAGGCTGTGGGACTTCAGACTTGGCTTTGGCTCAAGAGCAGCTCCCCAGAGCCAGACTTCCTCCTCTTCCTTTTTTCTTGGAAGAGCATTTCCAGGTCCTTGCTATTCTGAGAAGAAAAAAAGTCTTCAGATAAATGTGTTCATTCCAGCCCTCGAGAGGAACAGAGCAGAAAACCCAGGCAAAGGTGAGCAGCTTGACAAAGAACACTCCCTTGGAAACACCTTTCCTAGGGAAATGGAATTCCCCACTGTAGGGTCTCCTCAAACTCACCTAATCCCCCAAGAACCAGGGTTTAGGATGGGGAGAATAGGCGGTGTTTTGGTCAAGACCCTCTCAAATGGATCAATGCCAGAAAGGGTTTGCCCGGTCTGCCCTGTAACATGAATTCCCAAATGGTCTTATTATTTAAAAAAAAAAAAAAAAAAAAAAAAAAAAAAAAAAAAAAAAAACCTCTGGATCCAGATATCAGGGTAAATGCTGAAAGATCAGAGAGACAAAGGAACAAGCCACTGCCATGTCTTACCTCTAGGACTCCTCAGCCTGAAAACCCTTCTAGCTCCTGTCTCCTCATGTCTTATATACATTTCTTCACCCAGCCATATCACTTCCTGTCTCAACCTCTCTAGCACTGGGATTAAAGGTGTGTGACTCCCAAGTACTGGGATTAAAGGTGTACCACCACTGCCTGGCTCTGTTTCAATCTCATGTAGTCCAGGGTAGCTTTGAACTCACAGAGATCCAGACCAATCTCTGCCTCCCGAATGCTAGGATTAAAGGTGTGTGCCACCACGGCCTGGCCTCTGTGTTTAATCTAGTGGCTTGTCTGTCCTCTGATCTTCAGACAAATTTTATTAGGGTACACAATACATCACCACACTGCCCCGTCAGTCATCCGACATGTGACAAAGCAGGAGTCAGAATAACCACTTGACTGCAGACTTCTCCACCTCCAGAACTGTAGAATTAAGGTTCTAGTCTTTATCAATCCTGCAGCCTCGGGTGCTCTGCTTCAGCACCACCGTACAGACTAAGATGCCACGTCCTCCTCACCAGCTGAACACAGCAGTTCCTATACTTAAGTGGATTTCCAGGTTGTGTGAATTTGTTTTCAAATGAGTAATGGAGACGCAGAAAGCTTGAAAGTGCTGTTAACGTCGTAACTAGGCTAAGTCTGAAAACGAATATGCAGAATCTAATCATTGATTCTTTGCGTTGGAAGGAACATTGAATTATCTGAGGTTTACCTAAGGGTCCCAAATGCCCTCCCTTATATATGAGGAGAAGAAGAACCAGTGACAGAACACAGAAAACAGGCTGTCTTCCTTGTTTGTTTTCCTGGTAACAAAATATCCAGACGGAAGCAACTTCAGGAAGAAAGTTGGGAAGTTTGGCTCTGAGTTTGAGTCCTTCCTGGTGAGGAAGTCCTGGCCTGAGAAGCTTGGGAAGCTGGTCACTTGACATCTGCAGTAAACAGAATGATGGGTGCTGGTGCTTTTCTGCAGTCCTGGACCCAAACTCGGGGAATGGTGTTGCCCACTTCCGGGTGGCTCTCCCAACATTACCCTAATCAAGACAAGCCCTCCCAATCCCACCCAGGGCCTTGATCCCAGGTCCTGTCGAGTTGACTATGAATCACCACACAGGTCATGATCTGCATGTGGTTCCTTTTGTTAGGGGAAAACATTGTGGCTGTGAGCTGTGTTTGGATCATAACCAATCACACAATTCCAGAAATACTAATTAGATTACATTATTTTCCAAAAGTACCATGCCTTAGTTACATGTATAGTGTTTATCTATATAGCTCATCGCTTAGACTTTCACGCTTTTAAATGAGATGTTAACAAAAACTTTACAGGAAAGTTGGAAAACAGAAGTAGATTCGCCTCTAGTTGGCATTCACCCTCTGCTTCATCTCATGCCTGCTCACCCGTGGCTTTTAAATCCCCTGAGTATGAGTTCTATCCGTCCTGCCCTTTAAGGCCCCCAACCACTGCAGAGTGTATTTCCTAAGATAAAAGGTATTCTCTTACATACAATGCTGTTGTCCACACTGGTAACTAATTCCCTTAAACAGCACGTTCATCTACTCTGTCTGCACTCCTGTTAGTCCATTAACACAAGGACATCCTTTAGAGCCCCTGTCCTCAGCATAGAGTGTCCTAGTTCCTAGACACTCTCATGCTTGATAATGTCTGGAAAATGCACTTTTTTCCCTGAAAAAAAAAATCTTTGTATTTTTTTTTTTTTAAGAATGATCCCCCTCCCTCCCAACTTCTCATACATCACTTCTGGGTGTGGGTGGATTGCTGCTTCCTCATGATTGGGTCCAAGTTGTGTGACTCAGCTGGGCACTAAGGGAGCTTTGGATGGGTGTCGCCTACAGAATATCGGAGGCACTGGAGTCCATCTGGTCCCTGCTGGCTGGCGAGGCAGATTCCAATCAGTATGTTTTTCTCTTTGATTTACTTGTAACTTGCAATCAATCTGCCAAGAGACAAGAGAGGTAAACACTTCACCTCCTTCTTGTCACGTTTCTTCCTAGAAGTAGCATCCACAGGTGATTCCTGCATAGTCCACTGCCATCGGTGACTGTAAAGCTCAGTTCTTTCTGCACATGAGCCCCTCTTGTGGGAAAAAGCCTTCCCTCTCCCTCATCCATAGATTTATAGACTATTTATTAGTATTATTTGCACAGTGGGACCATTAATTTCTACATCTAATGTTCCGTAATTATTCCTTTATGTTGCTGTCTTTGTAGTCCTGTCTGAGCCAGCTAGAATGTGTGCAGACTGATCCAGTGTCCTCATGGCATGTCCCATGACCACTTCTAACTTTCTGGCGTAGATGTTCCAGGTCCACCTGTATCTGCTTTGTTCCAGCCTTGGTTGGATTCGGCCATTTCCCACAGGATCACTGATCACCTTCAACGGAAGTAGAGGCTAAGATCTGGACACTGGTACTAATCACTAATGCGGAGTGTGCTCTCCTTGGCCTTGAGCAGGCAAGCAGGGAAAAAAGTGCATGCAAGCATAGTAATACACACACACTAGCACACACATGCATACATGTGCACACACCAACACATACATGCATTTATACATTTCAGATCGTCACTGTAACCAAACACTCTTAAGAAAGGTTTATTCTGCCTAGTGGTTTTGGGGGAACCTTTCACCACACTGGGGAGTGCTGGCTGGAGAATTGGCTCTGAGCTGTGACTCCTCAACGCCCTTATGTCTCAGTGGGGCAGAGAGCAGAGAATCCTGGGGTTCAGGTGGCCATTTTATTTTCCTTGTTATTCAGTCCTGATTGTAACCCATAGGATGGTGCTGCCTACATTCAAAGTGAGTGTTCTCTCCTCAAACCTCTCTGAAAGAAAGTGACCACACAGACACATCGCCCAGAGATGTGTCTCCCAGGTGATTCCAAATCCCAGCAAGTTGATAATCAAGATTAACCCTCACTGTAAGTAAGATAGAACCCTTTATATTGTCTCTATTATTTATGTTTATGAATTCACACCATGAGAGGTCTAACTTGAGATAAATTCCTACAAGTGGGGTACTGAAGCATGCGGCCAATGCAAATGGTTTTCCTATCATCATCACCATCACCACCATCATCACCACCATCAGCACCATCATCACCACCATCATCATCATGATCATCATCATCAACATCATCACCATCATCATCACCAATCACCACCATCATCACCATCATCATCATCCCCATCATCACCACCATCATCATCATGATCATCATCACCATTACCATCATCATCATCACCACCACCATCATCATCATCATGATCATCATCATCAACATCATCATGATCATCATCACCATCACCATCATCATTAGATGGTGTCAATTCTCCTCCAAAGTGCTTGTATGCTCTTGGTTCACAATAATGTTCTTTTCTAAAGAACATTAAATGAAAATTTTCAAGTGTGAACAAATTCGCATAAATTTTAAAATATTTAGTAATTTTGTTCACTGAGCTAGTGTGGTTAATGTCTAGGGGCTGATTTTTCCCAGGTACCTTGGGATGTGGTAAACTTAAGTATGTGGTCTAAAAGCACACTTCTGTGTCCCTTGTCTATAAAATTGAACATGTAGGTTTCTAGCCTAGCACCCTACAGCTCTCATAACTGAATATAAAATACTGGAAATGAGCACTTGGAACAAAACATGTATTCTAGTCTCACTTCTATCGTGTTCTTTTAAAATTTTTATTAGATTTATAGACTTAAGTTGGTATGTATGTGTTTTGCCTACATGTACGTACGTGCACCATGTGCATGCATGGTGTTCACAGAGGAAGGCACTGTATCCTTGGAACCACAGTTAAAGAGGGCTGTGGATCACTATGTGGGTGCTGGGAACTGAACCCAAGTCCTCTGCAAGAGCAACAAGTGCTGTTAACCTCTGAGCCACCTCTCCAGCCCTACCGTGCTCTTACTCTGCAAATTTACAGTCATTTTGATGTGTTTAAGCTTCTATTTATCCATAAAATGGGGGATAAAACATTTTTCATAATTACCTAATAGGTTTGAGGTCCAATAGGTATAGTTTATATGTACAAATGGCTATGTTTCACTTGTATGTCTGTCATCTATTTTTTTACCTCTCTACTATCTACCTTCTAAATATCTACCAGTCATCTGTACCTGAGTCATCTGTCCATCTATCTATGATCTGCCTATCTACCAGTCATGTAGGTAGCTAGCTCCCTGCTCTATCATCTATCTATGACCTAGTAATCATCTGTTATCTATCCACCTACTTATCTTTTATCCACCTTTCACCTATGCAGCCATTCACCACCTGTTTATAAACCATCTATATGTCATATACGTACACCGTCTATATGTCATATACGTACACCGTCTATATGTCATATACGTACACCGTCTATATGTCATATATGTACACCGTCTATATGTCATATATGTACACCATCATATCATCATGTAAGTATCATATACTTACACCATCTATATGTCATATATGTACACCATCTATATGCCATATGCATACACCGTCTATATGCCATATACGTACACCATCTATAGCTCATATACGTACACCATCTATATGTCATATATGTACACCATCTATATGTCATATATGTACACCATCTATATGTCATATATGTACACCATCTATATGTCATATATGTACACCATCTATCCATCCACCCATCCTTTACCTTCATCTATCCAGCAACTATCCACTATATGATCTCTGTAGTTGAAGCCTTTCCGTCTCCAGACAGTGAGAAGAAAGTGCATTTAACTGAAAACTAGGAAAACTGTTTGGTTCACTTTGGCTCTAACTCAGTGCTTCCTTCTGGAAGAGCTCATTCCCTTCCTAGGCCCTCTACCTCCTCCTCTACA